GCTGAGTTACTTGTGGTGGTTCTTGAGGTTATGAGCGCCCAAGGTGCTACCGCTGCTATTAACGGAACAGTCAACACTGAGCGACCTGGGATTCGAGGTTCTGGTTCGTATGGTGCTACAGATTGCGGCGCCCAGGGACGTCCGGATGTACCGGCCCGTGAAGCTCAAGGTGATGACTGCGAAGACGGGACTCGTCGTGCTGAGAGCGCGGAAATGGAAGGTGGAGGTGATGATCCGAGACCTTCTACTCAGACAGCACAAGGTGGCGAGACTGGAATCGCTGCAGAAGCGGTGCCTGGCATGAATGTGGTCGGCCTCTCGACGACGGAACCACAGATCTCAGCGCAAATCGGACCACAATGGACCGCGGCTGAGATGGAGTTTGCAGAGCTGAGAGGAGACACTGAAGTGATACAGGGCAGCGTGAATGCAGCCGGAGAAAGTCAAGTTGGTTTTCACACACCGAGATCTACGGGGTCTCAGCGTGGCTTGCAGTCGTGGCCGGGATGGGTTACACGATTGAGTGGCATGTTTAAGCAGCCCGGCATACCCCCTACTTGGCTCCCGAGCCCTATTTCCTCTCCACCGTTGCCTCCAGGAGCTCGTCGTCTACTTGCAGATGATCATCCTGGCGGAGCACTACAGGAGGCTCAAAGGGATCGTGGAGGTAGGGTGCAAAGGAATCCAAAAGGGTCCAGCTACCACACACCGCCTAGCAGTAGCAGTGTTCCTGCGGAAGCTATCCAAGCTGAAGTACAGCGACAGATGGGCGCAATTCTTGGACGGCTAAGCGAAGTGGAAGATGAAAACCTGCGTCTGCAAGCTGAGTTGGGTCGTGAGAAAGCCAAGGCTATGAGGGCTCAGAGCGGTGATCTTCAATCCGGTCATTCAGGCACGCATCCACAAGTTCCTTCCCCTCTACCTGCTCCCTCGACAGTACCTCAAGGCAACGATCAGGGAGTTCGTGATGTACCAGATCAACGATCCGATCCCTGGAGTAGGTTATGGGAAGGGATAGCGGTGAAGTTCGGCGCTTCTTCTGGGCAACACCAAGGCGCTTATTCGGGAGGAGCACAGCCAAGTCCGCCTCCTCCGAAACGTCAATCGGGAGTTCCGCAGCAACCAGCATCTATGTCAGGTACAAAGGCATCTCTCCAGTCAAGTGAGGCCACGGTGATCGAAGCGTTGGCCCAGAGCATGCGCCAGTTGCAGGAGATTCAGCTGAAGAACCTGCAGAAGGATGGTCCTGGGGATGATGTACCAGAAGTGGTTAAAACTGGATTGGCAGTGCTACCGGTTTTGGGGCCTCCGGATGGTGATCAGAGTGGGTTGTTATTCCAAGACTGGTTGGTGCAGATAACTACGGCAATGCAAGATTTATCCTCAGGATCTGGGTCTTGGTGGGAGTTGGTCAAGAATGCGGTGACGAAGGCTTATGAGACTTGGTTGGCGGCTTCGCCATTGGAGAGACTGGGCATCGAACCGCAGGCTGCGGCGGACCTGATTATGGGGAAGTGGGTCCGAGTAAACGCCAGATCGTGCGCGATGGTGGTACAGGCCATCCCGGAAACGATCAAGCTCGACTTGATAGCGCGAAGGGCGACACAGTCCATGCCGCTTATGTTATTCCGGCTCTATACGCTGTACCAGCCTGGAGGAGCAGGGGAAAGATCAGTCATTCTCCAGAGACTTCAAGGTGGTGATCGACCTCAAGGTGATCAGGAGTGCCTTCAAATGCTGAGAGCGTGGCCGAGATGGTTACAGCGGTGCCAAGACATGAAGATGTCAATACCCGATGGAACAGTTCTGGCTAAGGGATTGTCAACTACCACAGCGGCAACAATATCGTCGAGCCCAGATGCAATGTTTCGCACACAGCTGGTTCGGGCGACACTCAGAATCGATCAGCAGCCGTCGCTTGATGATGTTGCTAAGTACCAGAAGCACTTGCAAGCCGAGGTGGAAATGATCCTTTCGTCGTCTTTGAAGGTGACATCGGTGCCCTCTCTCAAGGCGGTTAGTGCTCCCACTTCACCAACGGCAGGTGGGAAGCCAGTGTGCAAATACTTTCTGAAGCCAGCTGGATGTCGCAGGGGATCGAAGTAATGACATGTCCAGCCTAAGCAAGCAGGATCGAGCTCGCAAATGTCTGGCCTGCGGAAGTGAGGAGCATCGTCAGCGAGAATGTCCTACCAAGAACCCCAAGTTCCCTAAGAATAATGCGGAGTCTTCGGCGTCAACGGCAACCAGATCTACTACTAGTGCAAAGGGACCTACGGAACCAGAAGGCGAAGTATCTCCGAAGGCCGTTCAATCGTTGGAAGTTACTCCAGGGCAGCCTGTTCTGTCGTGGGAGTCGTTACTTCAGGCTGCGGCCAAGGTAGCAAGCTCGGCTACTTCGTCGTCGACTTCCCCTACGATCAATGTGGTTTCGTTGAAGGGAGCAAGGGCAACTACGCTTGACGAAGGTGGAGTCTACGCTTTGGTGGACTCGGGGGCCACGCACCCGTTACGTCGAGCTGTTACGAAGGACGAGTGGCAGAGCAGCAGCGCGGTACTAGTCAATCTGGCTGGAGGAGAAACGGTAGAGTTGAAGATGAATGCAGCTGGAACATTGCTGGTACCACCGTCGAGTTCCTCTGAGGCGACTTCGGCAACTGCGCCTATTGCGCCGCTTGGCTCTTTGGTGGAGATGCTGGGTTATCGGCTGGAGTGGGCAGGTTCTAGATGCAAGCTGTTTGGCCGTGATGGGGAAGTGATCAACTTACGTGTTCGCAACGGATGTCCAGAGATCACGGAGCAGCAGGCGCTGTCCCTTATCAGCAAGATTGAAGACAGGAAGCTGGAGTCGCTGAAGTCACTCACTGAGATTACCAAGGCCAAGGTTCGTGAAGCAGCTTTGGCACTGAACAAGACGTGGTTCGATCATTTGCTGACGTACTGTGAAGCAGGATTGAGTACGGAGGCTTTGCTTGCCATTGACAGTGCGCCTTTCTTCGAAGGAGTTCCTCGACCAGCTCTTCAAGGCCTTGTAGAAGCAGTCCCTATTTCCAATGGCTGGGATGCTCTAAAGGGTTTCAGCCACCTCAACAGGAGAAAGAGAAAGAGGCTGTGGGAATCTTCGCAATGGGTGGTTCATTTGTACTCTGGAAAGCACCCCAACAATGAGCTTATGTTTTTGGAGCGTCAAGGTTTTGTGGTGCTGGAGCTTGATCTGGAAAGGGGAAAGACGCATGATGTGAACAACCCTTTGGTGTGGAGAGCTCTAGAGTGGGGAGCCAGAAATGGCCGTATCGCTTCATTGGTGGGAGGACCTCCCCAGAACTCCTTCATGTTGCGGAGACACATGACCCCTGGACCAGAGCCTCTCCGATCTGCTGAATACCCTTATGGAGGTTGGACGGGGCAGTCAGCAGCGGAGGTCGACTATGTGAACAAACATACTGGGTTGTTTGCCAAGATGCTGTATCTGCACGCATTGTCGACAGCGGGTAGAGCCAAGTATCCTCCAGATCCTGCTGATGTTCGTGAGGTTGGTTTCCTACTTGAGCAACCGCGAGATCCCAGGGGATACCTTCGTTTTGATGACCCTCTGTTCCAAGACTGTGTGAGTTTTTGGAGAACGTCGATGTGGCAGGAGTATGCAGAAGAGGCCGGCTTGTCAAGCTACTCGTTCGACATGTCGTCATTAGGGAAAGCGCTTCCGAGGCACACTACAATTGGAACGAATTTGCCGTTGAGACATTTAGATGGGCTCCGAGGTCGGATACAGCGTGATGCAACACCTCCTGAGCGGGCTCCTCCTTCAGTTTGGTCTCGAGAGTTCTCGGAAGTGGTGGCCATTGCGATAAGATCCCAGCGCTTAGCACCGAAGATGTTGAAGATGTCAACGGAACAATGGCGTGAGCACGTTCGAAGAGGGCACTTACCATATCGGTCAGATTGCCTGACGTGTGTTTCTGCTGGCGCGACGGGAAGAAGACATGCAAGGGTCGAGCACCCAAGTTGCTTCGTTATGTCGGCAGATGTGAGTGGTCCCTTGAAGGTTCCAGGGTTGGACGCTGATGCCAGAGGTGCTTTCCCACGTCCACACAAGTACATCTTCGTGGCCAAGGTACGAATCCCCAAAGGCCTGGTAGACGACGGTCGCGGTGCATTTGTTGAGTATGACCCAGGAGAACTGGAAGCAGATGGACCCATAGCCGAAGGTGCCTTCGACTTTCCGGAAGATGGTCCCACAGGAGCTGATGTTGAAGAAGTTGTTCGCGAAGAAGAACCTGTGGAAGCTGGAGAGGACGATGATAATGGGGTTCACGCCAAAAGAAAGGATCCTCAGCGACATGAAGATGACTCAGACCTTACGGGCCCAGATTTGGTGAACTTAGTGTTTGCTGCAGCGATGCCGGACAACAAAAGTGCTACAGTGCTGGAGTGTATCCAAGATGTTGTTCTCTACTGCAATTCTCTCAACATACCAGTACTTCGCTTTCACTGTGATCGTGGAATGGAGTTTTATGCGAAAGCAACCCGACAGCGGCTGAAGTACCATGGTATTCGATTCACCACTAGTGAAGGTGGGCTTCATCAACAGAATGGAGTGGTGGAGAATGCGGTTAAGTATGTCAAGCAGCGAGCAAGAACCTTACTTTTCGGGTCCAAATTACCCCAGAGATTGTGGCCTCAGGCGGTGTCTATGGCTGCGGCATCCCAGCGGGCGACTACACTGGGGATGGAGACAAAGCTGGCAGCGCCATTCGGCGCACGGGTGTTGGTGAGAAAGCGAGAATACGGTGGAAGTGCTGAGCCAGGAAAACCTGATGACTTAGCGCCGAGATGGGTGGAAGGCAAGTACCTTGGTCTTTCAGATACGGTACGAAGGGGACATGTTATCTATGTGACCGAGGGCGAGACTGAGAAGTTCATCCATACAGTCCATGTTCGCACTGAGTTCACCGAGCCCGAGATCCCAGACGTTTTCGAAGCTGATCTACCTGGTCCTCCTAGTCGAAGATTGAGGTCAAAGGCAGCTGGGAGTGGCGATGTAGTGTCGGTGTCAAAGGCTCAGACTATCGTGGGAGATGAAGAGCTAAAAGCAAAGGCTCAGGCGTTGATGAGCTCTTGGTCTCAGGAGGAGGCGGAGAGCTTGTGTGTTCAGATTTCACTGATGCTTGGGTCTCATGAAAGAGTGTCTGGAGTGTTTCGGCATGGAGGAGCAGTTGGGCTGACGAGAGCTACGTTTGATAAGGCGTGGATCGCAGATTTCAGTCAACGCCCAAAAGGACCTTCATATCGATAGTAACAACTTGTCCGGGAAGAGCAACTACCTGTACCCCATCGTAATGCCTCGTCGTGGAGGAGATCTTTGGATAGAGATTTCAGATGGGGACGTTGTACGGGGAAAGGTCACAGAGATGCTAGATTCCCGTGGAGTTCCTCATTATGGCTGCGTGAATCCACTGGAGCAGGGTCGGATTATGGTGTTTGATCCTCATCGACGGCATGCTGTTCTCCCGTGGAAAGGATTGAGGATAGTGCTAGCTGCCTATACAACGGGTGTGCTGCGGAATCTGTCAGGATGTGATCGCGAAGTCCTTGCTCGTCTTGGATATCCAGTACCTCCAGAATGCGATGATCCTACAGTAGAGGTGGCACTCCGGATGATGTCGCTGCAAGCACCACAAAGTGGGAGCTACCTTAAGGAGATTGAAGACGAGATCTATGTTGCCCCCGAGAATGTTGCGGAGGAGAGTGTCAATGGCGGTAGTGGTTCCCTTGAGTCACAAAGCTCGGATGAGGAGGAGAAGATCAATGATGACTTTAAGATCCGCTATACAGATGAGGACCTGGAGCATTGGGACATGTACTTACCACTTCAAGAAGGTGATCCAGAAGTGGCTCCTAAGGCAAGGATTGCATCCTCCAGTACCACCGTCCGAATGAGTAAGATCGAAGTGGCGTACACCCCAAATGTGGAGCAGCTACTAGATGAATTGTCTGCACCCTTGGCGATAGTACACACAGTCGACCCGAAGGAGGCACAGGACAATTTCTCCAGATGGGTTCCCTCGGTTGAAAAGGAGATGAAATCTTTTGACCATGCCGTCAGGAAGAGAAGCTCACAAGAACCGCAAGTACGAGATGATATTCGAAAAGGGGTGGCTAAGGTGGTGCCCATGAAGATCGTCTATACAGTTAAGCCACCCAGTGAAGATGGAGTTGCACATGGTGACTGGATTCGCCGAAAGGCAAGAATTGTTGCATGCGGAAACATGATGGCGGCTTCTGGTGAAGACACATACGCAGCTGCGGCTCCGGCGGAGGTGGTAAGGTCTTCGTTAGCAATATCAAGCTCGAAAGGATGGGATGCAGGCGTCATCGACATCACAAGCGCATTTCTGCAGACCCCATTGTCGGAGGTGAATTGTCACTTTCGTGTGTTTGGCCAACCTCCTCGCGCTCTTGTTCGTGCCGGCCTATGCTCGGAGGAAGAACTCTGGGAGTTTACCCACGCTGTTTATGGCTTGCGGGAAAGTCCGAGGTGGTGGGGAGAGTTTCGTGATGTCAGTTTAGCGCGCTTGATGGTCCGACTGGGCGACAGAAAGGTGACCTTAGCAAGATGTCGTGTAGAAAGCAGCTGGTGGAAGGTGATGGAGGAATCATCTGTCATTGGGGTGATCTTCATATATGTGGATGACATTCTTATCTGCTCAACTCCCCCCGTCGTGAAGGCCGTTGCGCAGGCGATCAAAGAGCTGTGGTCTACCAGTCCGTTGGCTATGGCGTCCGAAGGTGCAATAAAGTTTTTGGGGTTGGAGATTGAAAAGATCGAGGGTGGCTTCGCAATTTCTCAGGCCGACTATATCTCCGAATTACTACGGATTCACGGAGTGAAGGAGACACAAAGAGATGTTATTCCGGTGGCTCGAGAACAATCCTCCTTTTTGGCGACAGAGGAAGAAGCAATGTTTTCGGAAGCCGAGTTGCGTGAAGCTCAGCAATATGCCGGTGAAATATTGTGGTTGTCTCAGAGGTCGCGACCTGATCTCGCATACGTTGCGAGCCTTACATCATCCCTTACAACAAAGGCTCCGAGAAGAGTTTCATCGATCACCAGAAAGGTCCTGGGTTTTTTGCAACGCACAAAAGACTACAGGCTGCACCTGGTATCTCAAGGTCCAGAGCTGACAAGCTGGACCGACGCGTGGCCGGAGCCACACGGGATGGCTCATAACGGCAGGCGACTCTCCATTGGCGTGGCGCTCATCGCGCCAAAGCAGCGTGACGTTGTCGACTGCAGAGGCAGAGCTCACTGCCTCCGTAGAGGGGGCATTGGCACTTTCCAGTTTACGTGCGCTCTGGCAGGAGATAGAGGACAAAGAGATACCGCTGGTGTTGAAAACCGACAGTATGTCTTCGATGGCGATACAGCATGGGAGTGGATCCTGGCGCACTCGTCATCTACGGATCAAGGCCGCATGGATAGCTGAAAGGGTGGAGCGAGGTGAAGTGACAATCCAGCACTGTGCTGGAGAAGTTCAGTTAGCTGATGCACTAACAAAGCCTTTGTCCTCGGCTCGTCTTGCTCAGTTATCCAAGATGATGGGCTTGTTCTCTTCCGAGCAGTATGTTGAAGAAGACAAGAATGCAGACGTACAGTCAAGGCCGAGATCGACGGTGTCCAAGGTGCTGATTGCTCTATTAATTTTTATCTCAGGCGGTGATTCCGGCGAAGGCAGTGGAGCTAGTGTCGGTGATGGACCATCAACCTTTGTCTGTAGATCATGGCATGGTCATGTGGTTTGCGTTTGGACTAATCGCTCTGCTGTGGACGGTAGCTTGGGAATTCCTGAAGTACGCGGGCTGGCAGTTGTATTTCTCGGCAGTGCCTGGGGCTGATGCTAGGAGACTAAGGAGACTGCAGAGGATCCGCGATCACACAGCGGTGGCAATTCAGCATGAACTAGATGCACGGCAAAGAGAACGAGGGGGTCCAGTTGAAGTTCGTAGAGCTCATGATCTAGATCGAAGAGGTGGAGTACCACTTGGTGATCGAGAAAGAGCGGAATCGTCAACGAGGGCGACTATTCCTACTGGTGGTGAGAGGGTAGTGCACAGGGCCAGTCAAAAGATCGAGCAGTTCAGACAACCGGACCTGCCTTCGCTCCAATCCCACCCGAAATTCGAGTAGAGACCAGGACCCAACTTCAGGTGCCGGAGCAAGTATACTATGTACCTGGTGGCCAATGTTACCATGTTTTCAATCCACGCCATGCATTTAGACACCGTGGCACTCAAGGTCGTGTTCAAGCTCTTCGCATATGCGAGTATTGTGTAAGGCATCAAGGACGTGATCCTCAGATCCCTGGTCCGAGCATTGATGAAATTTTACGTTCGGGACAGATGCCAAACTTTGATCGCCCAGGAATCCAGCCTTGAAGTCAAGTTGACCCTATCGGGGAACTTGAGGAGGAGTGAGGAAAAGCAGTTCGGAGGTTCTGGATCATGGGCGTGAAGGTAGAATTTCTCTGCCGATACGTTGTTGCTCCAGGGAAGGCTACGAAGAGATTTCCCCTTGGGCTAGACGTTCGTTGTACAGTTTTTTCACGAGAGCCTGTAAGTGCTCACCATCATATTGCAAGGCAGACCAATCATGTACACCCCAGGTCGTGGAGCCTTGAAGCTTGTGGTAAGAAGGAAAAACCAGAGTGAATCGACCGCCATGGTTTCTCTGCCAGCCGATATCTGCCGTTCGCAGTGACTGCCAGCTGAGTTACTTGTGGTGGTTCTTGA